GCTTTGCTGGCTGAAGTAACAGACTTCTCATTTCTGCAGCCAGAAACAGCTTAGAAAAAAAAAAAATTGGGTAAGCAGTAGTCTTGTGATAATTTCTGAAATGAGTGTTTGTGAAAGGGTTCTAAAAATTGCCTTAAGTACCAGCAGTTGTATTGAGTTGTTTTTAAGAAGTCTACTCAGAAATATGCAGGCACATTCTTCTGCTTCCAGTTTCATTTCTGCAAAATCACCCTCCTTTTTTAGCCAGGCAGTAAACGAGCCCAGCTGTTGTGTCCTGTCCAAAGGGCTTAGCAGGCACTGCACGGGCTCACGTCAGGAATTCAGCAGCAGCCAGCTATGCCGCACAGAGTGAGGAATCATAGAATCATTAAGGTTGGAAAACGCCTCTAAGATCACCCAGTCCAACCCCAACTCACTCCACCATGCCCACTGACCGTTTTCTTCAGTACCACATCTCCACTTTTCTTGAATATCTCCAGGGACAGTGACTCTGCCACCTCCCTGGGCAGTCTGTCCCACTGCATCACACTCTTGCTAAGAAGAAGTTTTCTGTAATATCCAAACTGAACATTCTCTAGCATAACTTAAGGCCATTGCCTCTCATTCTATTGCTGTTACCTGGGAGAAGAGATCAACCTCCCGCTCCCACCCCCACTACAACCAAGATGTTGCGGAGAGGAGGGGCTGCAGGTTTGGCAAGGTGGCATCCTTTTGAAGATCCAGCAAAAGCATCACAAGACAAGAGCCAGAGCATAGTTCTCTAACTAAATCACTGACCTGAACAAGCTCCCTTCAAGCTTGCAGACTGTAATCCCTCTGACTTCCATCTCTAAAAGCAGTACTACTAAAATCCATTAAACTACCTTCTCTTTTCACCTGCTTTCTCACATTTATCTTGTGAACAGGTGAAGTCCATGAAGAAGTAACATCCCTGCTGCTTTCAATTACAAAAGTGAAGGGTCAGGTTGGCTATAAAAGCTTTCCTGAAAGCTGAGGGGCTGTGATTCTAATCTTGTGTTCTATGACAATGCAGCAATCACTGGGCACTGCAGCTTATTTTGGGAAGTGTGTTCTGGTTATATATATAGAAAACAGCAGAGTAGGTGATGTCTGATTCCTTTCAAGGCTCTTGTGTGACTTAGAGGACCAGCTTTCAGACTGGGCTCAACTGCACAGAAAAGTCAATAGAATCTATGAAAGAAAAAGAGAAGAAATGGAATTCCTCACTCTCTACGAGGCAGCAATTGTGTATGGAGGAGACAGAGCTTGAGGGAATGGTGCAGCGTATGGAAATAGAAACCTGAGGCTATCCCTTCCCCTGCCTTCCCAAAAGAAACCTGCTTCCATCCGACTGCAGAAACACCACAGTGAGGGGAACACGTGGATCTGTGCTTCAGAGCAGAAACATCCCGGTGATGTGGAGTCACAGCAGGCATCAAATCAGAAAGGAACTCAAGGAGCAGCACAGGGCTCTGCCAGGTGTTGCCAGAGGTGGCTTTTCCACCCATATGGATGAGGAGAGATGAGATGACCTGCAGCAATCTGCTGCTTTGAAGGAAGGCACAGTTCTACATGCAGACAAAATGCTTCCAGTACTCAGCTGCTAAACCATGGCTGGAAAGATCCCAGTGCCTACTGCAAGGAAACAAAATGTTTAACCCCTTGGCATGAGGAGAGTAGCTGTTGTGCTGCTTTCTCTGTGAGCTGCACAGAGGGCTGGGGTTGCCTTGAGCTCATGCACTAGCTGATTTCTCCAGGTGGGCTGTGGCCTTACGTCCCCATGGGTCTCTGGTGTCACCAGGCAAACTCCTCACTGTGCTGGGTGTTGGACCAAAGCTGAAGTACCATTACTGACTCAGAAACCAGCAATGCAAGGGGCAGATGTAATAAGAAGGTCTTTCTGAGCCTATAGTAATGAAGACCACCCACATCTACCTCACTTAGAAATATTATCATTTTCCAAGCTAGAGAATAAAGCAGAAATAAGGTGCATAGAAGAAGTTTCACCTTAAAGCAAGACTGACAATCACTAATGTAGGTGATTGTGTGTCTACCTTAATCCAAACTGTGGAAAAATTGTTCATTGCTGAGGACCCACAAAAGCCTATAAGGTTCCAAAGAGTGCTCTTTATTACAAGAAAAACTGGCATGCCAGAAGGCACTCCTATTTTCAGCAGCTGAACTTGTAAAACTGAGGAAGGGTGTGGGAATCAGAAGGCTCAGCAAGATAAAAAGAACCAAGATTTCCTTAGGTTTTTGTTGAATATGGAGATATTTTTAAGTGCCTGTCAGTGGTCTCTGACAAAATGCTTGGGGACTCTATGAATAGCTGTCTTCCTTTGGAGGATTCAGATTGAGGAGCTAAAATATGCCTCTTCTTTCAGAAGCGAGCTCCCCTCCATTTGCCAAGGCCAGTAGTTCTGGAAGTCAAATAAGTTTCCATACAAGTAATTTCTGCCCAATGAACTATCTAAAGAGCACAGGACCACTCAGGAATTGGAAAAGATCTGGGGCTCACAGGTTTCTTAAGGGACCACATAAGCTACTGGCACTCCAGACTGCTTGTACAACCAGCAACCTCCATTCATGTGGTGGGACAGAGGCATGGCTAAAGCTGCAGTCGTCCTCTAAGTGGGTTTGCTGATGTTGGAACAGTCTTGGCCAGCAAACTGTGGACAGTGGCAACTAACCACACAAGTGGAGGCAGAAGCCGGCAGTGTGGATCTTGTGCTTATGTGTGAGACCAGACAGGTCCAGGCTCATGCAGAATCATGCACCAAACATGAATCGACTGTGTGATGTTCTTGCAAGAAAGGTATTCTTGGCTGCATTTATAGGAACATATTAGCTAAAGCATGAGAGGTAATTATACCATGCTACTAATTGCTGATGACTCCTCAGCTGTGCTCCTGTGTCGATGAATAGTTGTCCAAGGAACAGGCCCATGATGAGTATCTACAGGAAAGCCACATAAGCAGGAGAAACGTGATGCTATTCTGTGATGGAAAACTAGAGGTGTTTGGTTGCTTAATCTATAAGAGGAAATGCCAAAAATGGGAAATGGGGAAACGGCTATTTTCTGTGCGTAATAAGGGACGACTTACATCAATTTTATTACTTCATTAATTCTTATCACTCTTTGGACTGAAACTATAGGAACATCTTTATCTTCTTTTTGGCCATACCATATCGATAGCACAGATATATATTAATAGAAATACTCCAGAAAGTTCTCAGTGAGGCAATGCCAAAACTGAAAGCAATTCTGCAGTGATGACGCAAAATTCCATGTAAAGTTCTGAGCCGATTCAGCGAGCTTGGATCGGTTGGGCTCAGTAGTAAAAATACTATAATTGCTAGTCTTCAGTCATACAGCATCATCCTATATAACATCATCCCATAGCCGGCTAGTGAGAATGCACTTGCATCACAAACTGGTGAATGTTCTGGTGTGTGATTGTCATGAAACATACCTGACCTTGGAAACTGCACAGTCACTGTCTGTCCAGACCTGTTCCATGACACCAGGCCCTTCAGTGAAGCTGACTTTGCTGAATAGTCCTCTGAATTTCTATAAATGCAGCCTTATGACATGAGATCAAGAACAGATTTTCCATGATTTATACTTCTGTTGACTCTCTGTTGTTGATAACTAGTCTTCGACTCCCATGTTTTCCTGTCTGTTGCATCTTCCTAACGTCTCTTCCTGTATCATGTATGAACCTCAAAAAGTCCTCTTATGTATCTTGTATCTTCAAGTTTCTCCACAATTACCAGAGACTTCATCTCATTGATCCATGACACAGGAGTTCATGTGGAGTGCATGTCTATTCTGGGGTCTCCAATCCTGACCAATTGAGTACATCTGATCTTTTTTGGAGACCACGATTAATAAATCCATCCTGAACCCAAGCTGAATTCAGCCATCAGTGAAGTAGTGAAAACACTGTGCATAAAAGGATTAGTAGCTTGGGAATCAACTTGTGCCTAGGAAGAACAAGATGAACTGGAAACAAAACTGAGGATGCTTGACACAAAACTGAATTAAAGGGTTATGACAAAAGAAGGAGACATAATATGTCAGTAGCACAACGGCTCTGTAGAAATGAGATGATAAATTGGCTTGTGCTTTGGAAACAGGAGTGCTGAGAAATGTTTCAAAACACTGAATTGAAATGAGGCTGTTCTGATGCTTTCCGAAGCTTTTGATAATCTTTTTTTGAAGAATATTTGCCCTCATTGCTGTAAACTTATTCAAACTTTGCAAGGAGACATCTTACAACTCATGTATTACAGACTCCCAAGGATCACCAGCATACTTTTTAGAGCTCCTGAAGCTCCTGAAAGGTAACTGTTGTCAGTAGATTTTAATTTGCCATATCTATTTTTTGAGTTTATAATTTGAAGAAGGTTGGAAACCACAAAGCATACATGATATGCGTGTTCCTTTGGGAATTTATGTTCAATAAGATGTTTTGTAGGCAATTTAGGATTCCTAATAAATCAGATTTGAAAGCACATATATATATATACATATATTCTGTCAACGTAAATGGTCTCTCTACAATAAGGTCATACTTCATAAGCAGGTTTCTGTTTTAAAGGATGATTTCAAGTCTCGTAGTCACGAATTGGGTTAGACTGTCCCTGGAGAGGCTTTTAATCTAGCTTGGACACTACCGGACTTGCCAAAATTAACTCATGCTTCCAGACAAGTGATCAGTGATAGCTTCTGATCTAAAAATCCATCATTACACCTCTATGTTGTTTAATCAAACAGTAGTGCTACTTCTGATGTAAACAAACTTAGCAGAGGCTAGAAATATTTATTCACCTTTTCTGCAGGTCTCTCAGACTTATGGTTTGCTAGAATATCTGAATGCCAAAGTTGGCAGGGCATAAAAGCAATGGCATAAAGAAAATACCAAAAAAACATAGTCAGTTTTTTTCTGTAATTGCACTGCTATGGATGTGCTACTCTTTTTTTTTTTTTTTTTCAGACTTCATTTGAAACAATGCATTAACCAATGTACCTGCTGAAAGACACTGACTTTGTGTTGGAAGAGTTTGACTAGATACACTGAAAACTGATAACCTCCTGACAAACTGAAAAGGACTATTTCAGATTTGCTTTGGATTGACAGAGTAGAGATTTTCAATAGAGCTGGGCCTGTCTGGGTGAATCTTCTTCTTAGTCAAACAAAACAGAAGCTGAAAGGCAATTCAACCACAGCCTGTAACCAAATTCCAGACTACACACCAGGGGAGAAGAGAAGCTTCTCATGAATATGTTTATACTCAAAATTAGAAGGTTACTTAATCCCCATGGCATGATGGTTTGGAGCAACTCTTTACTAGAAGACTGAGGAAACACCATTTTCAGATGAGGCTTGATTAGCTGCAAGGCCTGTCTATGGTTGTAAGAGAGCAAATGATGGGCTGCATGGGCCCCCTTCAAAACACTGCCTTACTTGTCATGGTGGGAACCCTTGGATGCTGAGTGTTCTGGAAAACTCAATTTCCGCTAGGTTTCTGAAAGTGACCCGAGGCTGCTCATTTAGATCAATGCAAGGCTGAGCTTTTCAAACCTCCTTTCCCACTGGTATTAACATGAGGCACCTGGAAGGAAAGAAATAGACTATGGGTGATCAATAACTGGCTACAGATTGGTCTGAATAAAACAATTTTATGAAGACTTGTCATTAGAAAAAGATCAATATAAAAATAAGAGTAGTGATATCTTACTCAGACTTGCTACCAGTCATTATACTATCCCTTCCAATTAAGAGTTTATTGCAGGAGACTCTCCATCTCATACACTGTCTTCTGCCACTTACACTGACTCCAAGTGCATGCTAAGGGTTGCCATTGCCAGAAATTTCACAGGGAGTGACAGTGATGATGGCATCTGTAGGGATGGGTGGCACCATCTTGCCCAAGGCTAAGGCCCATCAGCGAGTGGTTGGACCGTACCCTGGAGGAGCATGTAGGGTGACTGTGGAAAACAAGGATGAGCTGCAGGGTGTAGGCTAGGTCTAATTGCAAGAAGGTGAAAGGGAACAGGATGGGATTTTATTCTGCTTTCTTTTCTTGTGTCATAAAACTAAAAGATGTTGGAGATGTTGGGCAAACCACTGCCTGACAACTTCATTAAAATTTTGTTTTGTTTTCCTTCAGTATTTTGTCTCTCTCTGCCCCCTTTTTACAACTTAACTTGGCTTATAAACATCTTGGTTGTCATGCTCACAGACTTGTTTTTGAGTATTCACAAGCTCATACAGTTTGGGAACTAAAGAAAACAGGATCATGAAGGACGCTGAACTGCATCAGTGTGTTTCTCTCTCGTAAGATGCTTTTGGTTACCTTCCTGAAATACAGGTTTCACAAGGAACTCCTCTGGCGCAGAAGTTTGTCTGGCAAAACTAATTGATGTGAAATGGTCCAATTAGGAAACACGCTGCACTTTTCCACTTTTAATGGGGAACTCTGCTATGATTTATGTCCTGTAGGAAGAGTTTACAGACTTGGAATGCGTCTTCCTTATTTTTGCACTGATAAGCAATATGACTCGTTTGTGTTTGGCAGTCCCCAGGACCAAATGCTGGCAAATAGAAAGGGTAAGAATTCTTCAACCGAGAGTACATCTGCCCTAGCTTCTTCAGCTAATGACCAGCCTATGTGTGCATGCCTACTAATAAAACTGAAAGGATTGTGTTCATTATCATTTCATGTAGCAAAACAGAATGGCATCCACACCAAACAACTGGTACATACCCCACCACAGCTCAGACTGACCTAAAACAAAATGCCTGGCATTTTCAGGGACCATCCTGCTCAGAACCACCTTTCTCAATGAAAGTTCACAAGTGATAGGAGAGCAGGCAGAGAGCTCACTCATAGAACTAGCTCTGAGCGTCTGATGTGCCTAGCAGGTTCCTCTAGCAGGAAGATTTTCCAGGATCCTAATGCTTAAATGTCTCCTGCTGGCAGCCAGCTTGAGCCCCCAGGCCTTCTATTCATGAGCTCAGTACTAAAGCACTTTTACTACTTCAGGTTCATAGCTAAGCATTTTCCAAAGCAGAGGGTACACCCATATGGAAATTAAATACTGAGAAGCCAGAGTTTTTCCAGCTAAAACATTTCAGGTGCTTAAATTTGCCTGTCCCAAACATAAAAAATTCCCAGCAAGGCAAATGCTCTCACGAGTAAATAGCTGATCAAGACAAACAGGTCAGCAGCTAGCTCAGTGACTCTGAGGGCCACTGCCCACTGCTTTACTGGACTTTGAACAGCATTTCCTACGGCATATTGTTAAAAGAGAAAGCAAGATAGAGTGATCTTGTCACGTACAGGAAAGTTCTGTTTATAAACCTTATTCTTACCTCATGTTTTCTGCACGTGAACTTCACAGATTTGGTACAGTACATCTACACGGCCACTTGATTTTTTTTATTGCATGAATTGTTACTGTGCAACATGAAAAAGCATCTGAAAGCAACTGATTTGTTTTCCATACATGATTCATTTGCATTGCCTTCATCATAATCCATTACTAAGGCAGCAGAGTAGGAGTTGATAGTGCCATCTTCTCTCTTTCCCCTGCAGAGATTTAACTATGTAAAAGATTGATCTAATGGCTTAGTGCTACAGAAATACTTAAAATTTATTCCCTAAGCCCTCGCCCTGTGATCCACCCATTCATTTTGTGGTTGCTCTGACTCATGTTAGGCTATTCTACAATCCAGTTTGTCTCATTGAAGCCACTATATTCTTTCTTCCTCATTTTTGCTTTTTTTTTTTTTTTCCCCCCTCCTGTTTTATTGCATTAAATCAGCTCACAGGAGTTGGCCATGCAGCAGAATCAGCACACACAGCCAGCAGCTCTCTGAGCAGAAATATCAGTACTGATTTCCAGCAGCAGTGAGCTGATAACTTAGCTCACCGCATCTCAGGAAAACATACTGAGCTATCAGATCATGTGAACATGCCTCATCTATACTGTTTAGAATCTAATTAGCTTAACTCCTACTGGAGGTTCTTTTGGACATGAAGAGACTTCATATGGTTGTTTTTGCATGTTCACCTCTTAAGAAAGCACCCCTCAACAGAAAGGTGGCAACACCTGTAACTACTGCAAGCATTTTTACAGTGAGCGTTGAAGCAAAGCCCAGGAGTGTGCAGCTGTCACTGAAGGAATAGCACAAGCACCAGCCGATGTAATTACTGTAATGCAAGGCCGGATGCGAAGAAAAAACAAACACCAGATTTAGCAATTAGAGGTAGGGGTGGTTTCCACACAAATAACTTTATTTTCCTAAGTACAGCAGTGAAAAAACAAACTTTTAGAAGAAGAAAAAAAGAAAAAAAAAAAGAGAGAGAGGATTTTATGTCTATATGTTTAATCACTTTTTCTAAGACAAAAATCATTTACATTCTGATAACTCACATTCGTAAATAAATAAAGGCAGCAGGGCATAACATTCAAATGAGTACCCTGTAAAATTAGCAATGTATTTTTATTAATCAGGAATATAACACTGCAATACTTAACCTTGAATTTGTATATACACAAATGCCACACCTTACACAGCAGTAAATCAGGACATACACCATAGGAGCATGTACAATAATTTACGTTAACAAAAGCCTCCTCCAAACTGGTAACAGCAAAAACCCTCTGAGAGGTGAGTAACAAAAATAAAGACTGACATAACCAAACAAAACCAATTCAAAGGGAAATACAATTAACAAGTAGAAATTATGAAGTATCATTACCTCCCCAAAATATCCAGCAACCTGTTTAGCTCTAAGGTAGGTTACAAAGAACACAGAAAAGTTACTTTACTTCGGTAGAACACTAAAATGCAAGCTTTTGCAACTTGGTCCATTTACATTTTGCTAATTATTTAGCCTGCCATACTGAGAAGTTGTGTGTTCCTCAATGTTTGGATATAGAAAGGAATCATTACATTCTTCAGAACAAAAGCAAGACTTTGAGAAATCTCTGCTTTTTCCTTTTCTTTTTTGGTTAAGCATATTTAGTTTTCATTCATGCAAAAATTGAACTGATCCCATTCCAGATGAGGATTTTACCATAAAATTTAAATAATCAACTGATTAGATTACAGAACAATGGGAAAAAGCTTAATCCACATGGTATCGTGCTACCAAATCCTAGTCAGTTAATGAAAATGGCACTAACCTTACACATTTGCCTCACTAGAGATGCAGGCTTGACTTTTTAATTCAGAGAAGCTGAAAGACAAGCAGAGTTAAAATAGATCTGAAAACTATACTTACTCATTTTTTGCCTAAGTTCAAACACTTATAAAGCTACACATGGCCTCCAAAGAACACCACCATTAAATTGTTAAACAACCTACAAGAAACCACTGCAGACCTGACAGCAATACAAAAGAAAAATGCATACTATTACCACACTATTACATTCTTACATTTCCTAAAAATTTAAGCATAAACCAGAGACTGAAGTTCAAACACAGAGAAATCTTGAAATGAGTAAAATAATTCAGGTGTCAAACATCACTATTCCGCGTCAGCCATAAAATCTATGAATACAGATTGGAATTTTACCCAGAAGAAATGGTTTTATTTATTTATGTATTTATTTTTAGGTAAGGGCAGATACATTCAACCAGGTTGTATCTCTGAAGAGCCAGGGAGAACCCTGCAGCAAATGTTCTGTCATTGCCAAACTGTACCTTAGGTACCTAATAGGAAAAACAGATTGGTTTTGGCAAGTAAAATGCAGAGAAATCACATGCATGCTCACAAAACAAGATATACTCACACTCTGAAGTTACACAGGCTTTCAGCAGCATCTGAAAGCATGTTGCAGAGGAAGAGTACTCTCTCCTCCTTGTCCCCGATCTCCGTATTTACTTTAAAATAAATAAATTCATTTTTAAATAGAATATATTTTTCCAAACTTTGATGCTTGTTGTCAGGACGCCATACAGCAGTTCTCACCTATTGTATTACATTAACTTGAGATACAGTGGAATTATATATGCATAATAAATCCAGTTTGCATCAAGCTGCCAGTAAACAGTTTCTGTATCCACACATAATGGTGCATGTTTGTGGTGTCCTAAAGGCACTTGTCTCTCACAGACAGCACTGTCTTATTTAATAGGTTAAAAATATATCTAAAAATACTTTAACATCCGAAATGGTCTTTACTCCTTAAAGAGGTGCAAAACATCACCTATGGAACATTGATTCATTAATTCAACATGAAAGAGCGAAGTGCAAAGTTTCTGTAATTAAATATATCTCTCTGTATTCATTCATTTTAATGCCATGCTCAAAAAAAAAAAAATAAAATAAAGCTACAAACCATGCTATAGTAGAAATGTGATAGGTGCTAGCAGCCACAAATGAAAGGTAGTGCATAAAGTAGAACAGTCGAGCTTACTTACAAAGCTTATTTATAATTAAGCAGTGAGTTACAAGGAGAGACGTATGGCAAAAGTCTTTTCCAAGACGTGCCTAAAGCCACACCTGACCAGTATGAAAGATCTATATATGTATATATATCACACAAACGTACATCATTAGGGATGCCTTTATATCTAGCTATCTAGTTTTACAAAAATAATTCCAAAATGCTCATCTGCTTCAGCATAACTTCTGTTTTCATCCAATAGGAAAAGTCAAAACCAGACAGAACAGCAGAATTTTAAAAAGACACCTAAATAGCATTAACAAAGTTCATTGCAGTTTTCAGGTGCTAATGGATGGCAGTGTGAAATCCTCAAAACCCAACTCATCTGGCCAATACGTATCTACAGATTGTCCTCTTCAAGTTTCAGCTTCTTAAAGCAAACATTATCAGAGTTTCCACCAGCAGCAGAACTGTTCTTGCAAATCATAGGTCACAGATACCATTAAAAAAGTGGCTTTGCCTATGTAAATTTGAAGCTGGCATTATACTTCTGCTAAGTAGGAAATCTAAAGAGATCTAAACAACCAGAAAGTGTGATGGATGGAATAAAACAAGTACAACCCAAAAGGCAGCAGGTTTGGGTTTTTTTTTTTTGCATTTAATACTTTTCATCAAAACAGCACATTAAGAGCATCCAGACTGCTATGAAGTTACTGGGAGGAGCCTCATGCTTAAACACTAATTTTCATGTCCAGCTTTCTTGAAATAGTTCTGCCAGTACTGCACCACAAGGAATTTTCTGCATTTTGAAATATCTGCATTCTCTGAACATTACAACAGGTTATTAAAAAAAAAAACAAACAACAAACAATCAACCAACCAACCAAAAAAAAACAGATTAAAAAAAAAAAGCAATTCAATCGACTCTTAAGCTGCTCCTTCAGAGAATCACATTCCATTGCTTATAGCATTGACCAGAATTGCTGATGGTGTACTGACAGTTGCCATGGCAAGTGGGTGACTGCGTGGGATAGCACGCATATAGCCAAGGTAACTTTTTATGCAACCTCCATGATTTAAGCAAGCATAGAACACCTTATGTGCTGCCAATGTAACTATAATCCTATATGACGTGCCGCAGGAAAAAAATGTTATTTTATGTCAGGCCATGGCTCCTTCAGTACTCCCATTCATCTGTTTTCATGTCCAGGTAGTAAAGGATATTCTGTGCAAGCTTTACTGCTTGCTTTCTGGCAGCCTTACATCGCTCATCACCTTGTGGGTCAACAGCATCAAGTGCAAGAAGTTGTTTTGTAAGGAGTTCTTCCAATCGCATGTAATTTTTATCTGTTCTATTTCCATCAAAAGAAATCACCTCCTGCTGAATTTGAGACAAGTTTCCAAGAACAGTCCAAACTGCTTTATGAGACTGATGTTCTGCAGCAGTCTGCTCTGCGTACATCTGCCTTTTCCCAAGTGCTTCCTTTAAATCGATGTATGTTATGAGAGTTTGTACTTCTATCACAGCTCTTCTCCTGGCTTCTCTAATACAAGGGTTTTTTCCCGGACTCACTTCATCTAACTGAGCAATTAATCCCTGCAGTTCTGCTTTGGATCCCAGATACAAATCAGAAGCATTCTCTGCTTTCAAAAGTAAAGAATTAACTTCCTTCATTTTCTTGCGGATTTCTTCTATTTTTAGAATGGACTGATTTTGTGCCAAATCATAAGCGTGAGTAGAATCCGCTTCTTCATCTAAGTCCAGGTATTTCTGCAATTTATTGATCTCTTCCACGACCTCCTTCCTGTAATTCCTTATTTCCGTGCGACCGCAGACGTCCAAAGCATCCAAATCAGCGACGAGGCCTGTGAGCACGCAGCCTAAATGCCTGCAGGTATCATTACTGCTCACTCCCATCAGAAGCGCAATAAGAGTTCCTCTCGCTTTGTTCACCTCACACATCACAGAGTTAATCTTGGAGACAGAAGGATGCGCATCATTAGAGAGCGGCAGGGAGAGCTGTCTCTTGGCGCAGCTCTCTATGATCTCCTGCACGGCACACACTTTGGTCAGGGTGCGATACCTCGCTTTGCGCAAAGAAACCTTCCCTCCGGTTTTCACCTGGGTGAGCCTCAGCACGATATCCTGGATGCCTTCTTCAAACTCCTCGTTGACGCAGTTGCCTCCTTGGTAGAAAGGCGTGATCTCGCGCTCCACCAGCGCCTGTGCCTCCTTGAAGATGGCCTCGATCTCCAGCCGGCGCGGGTGGTTTGCGTTCTGCTCCAGCTCCTTCAGCAGCCGCTCCGTCTCCTGGGCAGCTCGCTTTCGGGCCTGCTGGATGTCCCCTTTGCCCTCGGTGTCCACGGAATCTATCTCGAACAGCTGCTTGGTGAGGGACCTCTCCAGCTTCTTGTAGTCCCGGTCCGTGGACAACCCGCTGAAGACGGCCACTTGCTGTTCGATCTCTTTGACTTCTTTCTGTATTTCGTGCAACCGTTTAATGGAAGGGTGTTGGTTCCCCATATCCATGCTCTTCTCTCATCCGGCTTCAGACGAACTGCGAGGAGGGCAAAGAGAACACGGCGGTTAATCGGGTGCCGCGCCATCTCCCAGCGCCGCTGTTTACAACTTTCCTCCGGCGCTGCGGCCGCACCGACAGCCCTGTCCCGTCCGCGGGCTCGCACCGCTCCTTCAGCCCGGGGCTGAACCCGCCGCAGGCGCAGCGCTCCCCCCACTCCGCCCCCAGCCACCCCTTCCCACCGCTCCGGCGCTGAAGGCGACGCGGCCCCGCAGGCCCCCCCGATCCCCGGCTCACCCGGCAGCCGCCCCCGGGCTGAGGCACGGCGGCCCGGCGCGGCGCTGCGCCACGGCCGAGCGGTAACGAAGGGCGCGGAGCCCGGAGCGCGGCCCCGCCCCGCAGCACCGCCCTCGGCTGCGGGGCGGCCCTGCCCGCGCGACATCGCCGTAAAGCGCGGCCGGCGGCGGGGGATGGCGGCTGGCGGCGCCGTGCGGGCGCTGAGCGCGGGCGGCTGCCGCTACGGCCGCTTCTCCTCTTCCTTCTCCTCCGGCGGGGAGGAGCGGGCGGTGAGTGCGCGTCGCGGTGCGTTTTAAAGCCGTGCGCGGCTCCGGGATGCGCGTGAAGTCTCGGCGTTGCTCGGGAACGGCGCTAACGTCGGTCATCCCGCGTGTTTCCAGGGGCCGCGCTTCCGTCCCCCCGCCGGCTCCCGCAGGGACTGGATCGGGCCCCCCGACAAGCGCTCCAACCTCCGCCCCGTCATCTTCTACGTGCCGCCCCGCGAATCCCGGCTGGAACGGCGGCTGCGGGAGCTGCGGGAGGAAACTCAGGCGTGGAACCAGCGCTTCTGGGCCCGGCAGAACACCGCCTTCCAGCGGGTGAGTCCGGCGCCGCTGGGGGGCGGCCTCGGGCCGGGCTGGGTGGCGTGGGGGCGTTTAAGGGTCCCTTCTAACTCCAGTGACTCGTGACAGGTCCTGTTGCGCTGGCAGTTGCAGCTTGTATCGAGGCTGAAAGCAAGGACGCATTCAGTTGTGTTCTGCTTTCTTTTGTGATTTGCACCGAAAGGTCTGGAGCACCTCTCCAATGAGGGAAGGCTGAAGGAATTGGGCTTGTTTAGCTAGGAGAAGAGAAGGCGCTGGGGAGACCTCATTGCAGCCTTCCAGTGCTTGAAGGGAGCATATAAACAGGAACGGGAGTGACTTCTTACACACAGTGATAGGACAAGGGGGAGATGGCTTTAAGCTAAAAGAGGGGCAGTTTAGGTTACATGTTTAAAAAAAAATAAATCTTTATTCAGAGGGCAGTGAGGTGCTGGCACTGCTACTCAGAGAAGCTGTGGGTGCCCCGTCTCTGGAGGTGTTCAAGGCTGAGTTGAGTGGGACCCTGGGCAACCTGGTCTGCTGGGGGGCAGCCAGCCATAGCAGGGGTGTTGGAGCTCGCTGACCTTCCACGCTAAACTATTCTATGATGCTATAAGTTAGGAAGAATAGGAGTGATTCAGTAATTCATTATTTCTGAGCTTTGATCACCATATCCTCCCTGACCTTGTGAAGATTTTGGCAAAAATAAAACTTTTAAAAAAAATTTTGTAGAACTGCTTTTTGAGTTTGAGAAAATGGTGAAAAGATAATTATTGTGTATACATCCAAATAATGACAGATTTTAAGGCTGCGTGTTTTTCTGAACACAGAAATTCTCAGTTACATACTTTGTTTTATCTTCACTGTTTGTTTTTGTAAGATTTGGATGTAGAAAAAACAAGTTAGTGGTACTCCACACATGAGCTGTGTGTTTCAGTAGGACACGTGTGTGAATCGATTGATGCTTGCAGCTAGCAGGTTCATTGAATCATCAAATGGCTAAGGCTGGAAGTGACCTTAAAACTTACCTAGTTCTAGACGCCTGATGTAGGCCCACCAGCTCAGGCTGCCCAGGGCTCCATCCGAGCTGGCCTTAGGCACTTCCAGGGATGGGGCACCCACAGCTCTCTGGGCATTAGTGCCAGGGTCTCGCTACTGTCTGAGTAGAGAATTTCTTTCTAACATCTAACCTAAATCTTCCATCTTTCAGTTCATAGTCATTCCCCCTTGTCTTATCACTATCAAACTATGCAAAAAAAGTCTGTCTCCTTCCCAGTTATAAGCTCCCTTCAAGTACTGGAAGGCTGTGGTAAGGTCTTCCTGGAGTCTTCTCCAGGCTAAACGAGCCCAACTCCTGTAGTCTTTATTCATAGGAGAGGTGATCCAGCCCTTTGATCGTCTTCATGGCCATCCTCTGAACCAAGTCCAAAAGGATCTAAGCAACAGAGCTTTATCAGTTTAACACAAAGTCACTGTGCTTGGGAAAATGTTCTGTGGATGTTTCCACATTTAATGAGTGTTGTTTGTTATTTCAGAGGGTATTAGGCACTGGGCCGTTACATGATTTAAAAATAAAGGCTTACTTCAAGGACCAAACGCCTCAAATTCTAATGTGGAAAAAAAATCTTTTAGGAAAAAGAAGAATTTATCTACTCAAGACTGAAAGCCAAGGGTCTGGAAACGAGAGATGAAACAGGTTAGTGAGATCTTTGTACAGTTCAGGATACATTATGAATTCTGTTAGACTTCAGATTTTGCTAGTTATGTGCTGTGTGTTCTATGCCAAGTAATTGTTCAGAGCATGCATGTGGAAAGTGAGATCTTCTGCTTCAGTGTTTGTCCCCTAATTCCTCCTTGCCCAGCTGGAGGTAATGTGCTGAAATCCTCTTCAAGTGATTAACCGTTCTGCAGCCTAAGGAAGAACAGGCTTTCTTCTCTTACATTTCTTAACCCAGTGAGCTAGCTGAGCTGAACGTACTAGAGCACTTGCCTTCAGTGGATATTGTGGGTGGGCTGAAAAATGCATGCTCTTTCTGCAGGTCCACATTAAATTAATACGGTATTTTCTATGAGAGAGAGTAAGACAACCTCTGAAGAATAATAATGCTTTGGGTTGGAAGGGACCTCAAAGTTCACTTCATTCCAGCCCCATTACTGCAGGCAGGGTTGCCAACCAATAATTCAGATGCTGGATCAGGTTGCCTGTGGCCCCATCCACCCTGGCCTTTATCAGCTCCAGGGACAGGGCATCCACAGCTTCTCGGGGCAAAGAGGCAACAGCTGTTCTCTGACCATCTTTGTCTGAGCACAGTTGCTGTAAAATACTTGCCTGAATAATTTATTATGTGAAATAGAAATAAGGATGCTTTCGTAATGTAGAGAATTGGCCATTGTAGTACAAAGCTGAACATTTTGTTTATAGAATAATGATGCGTTTGACTTCAGGAAAGCATCTGTACTGATGTTCTATATATCTCAGACCTTTATGTTCCTCTTCTGTTTACATGCTAGTGATGGGTGTGTGATTGCAAAACAAATTAAATTCTGTTGTTAAGAAAAACAACTGCTTTGTGTGTTTTTTGGTTGTTTTTTTGTTTTTTTTTTTTTTAAATCTGAGAAGTAGAAGAGAAAATAAATTTCTACATCCCTTATGTTGACTGCACATATTGGGTTGGCTCATCGTTGTTCTCACACAGGGCTGTATATAGATAAGAGTAATAATTGCATGCATGTACAGTTGGAATAAAAGTTATTTCTTATACAAAAGATTAATAGTGCTGTCAGCAGAACTGATTGAAGATTATGACTAAAGCTGTTATGATGATTTTATCCCGTAGTATATTAGGATATTGTAATACTGATAAATAGCACACAATTCTATGATCAATCTTGGGTGCTTTAATATGTGTTTTTGGAACAATAACAAGTTGAATCTCGCAGTCTCTTCTCCCTTGTGTCCGTATTCTCTGGGAAATTCTATTTTGACCTTTGTTTTAGAATTGCTGTTGATGCTAAAAAGCTTTTGTAGGAAATAACAAAGTTGAGAATATTTGCTGGCTGTCCAGGTGCTACTTGTGTGCGGTAGAAAAAGATCTTCCTTTCCTGTTCTGGGGAGAGAATACGTGTCTCCTTAGCTTCCACATTGAGCAATATGTTCAAATCTGTGCGTCCTCTCTTGTACTTCTGTACAAAAAGAGTTGCCTACTAAATTAATATATCTGACATACGAAAAAGCACGTGTACTGAGATAAGTCACTTGAAATTTAGTAGCAGCAGTAGAAAAAAATGTGTTTTTTGACAGTGTTTTGTCAGTGATGAATCGTGTTCTGCCTGTACTTACAGACCTCCTTTTAGGGAGGAAATTCAAGTTCCTAAGTGCTCTTACTGGCAGTGCTTAGACTTCAGCCCTGTGACAAATTAATGTTACTCAAGAAGTAGATGACTTTTTTGGGGGAGCTCATTGGCTTCCTAAGTAAGCTGAGACTTTTATAAACAAACATCACTTTCATGAGTAAGAAGGGTTTAAGAATTACTGTGCTGGTTCCAAGGTGCACTGTGTTTTTAATCTGCTGTGCTCCATTGATAAGTTTTTAATATGTAAACGTATGTGTTCAAGGTTATACAAGAAGCCTGTGAGAGCAAGCAGTCAGACCTAGCTCCACAATCTGAGCCTGGTGTTTTAGTCTGAAGATCTATCTTCACATTGTCATGCCAAAACTTATTTTCAGGCCAGAAAGTGACATTGAATGCAGAGGAAATGGCTGACTTTTACAAGGACTTCCTCCGTAAAAATTTTAGAAAGCATTTGCATTATAACAGGTATGTAGAATGTATTTATGTTGACATCATAGTTTAGCCAAAAGGTGTAGAGGATTGGATCTAACTTTGTTTTTTACCATAACTTTTTAAAACGAGCAGCTGAAAATCTTATTTTGGAAAATGATTTATAAAGTGCTGCTGTTGGCGCTTGACGTGAATTTGCATTGGCGTTTGACTTTGCTGTTTATTGTTGATTTTTGTGGTGTTAAGGGACAAGATCAATTTTATTTCTCCTGTGGCATTGGACCTTTTGTTCCTGCCAATTGAAAGTGGTAAATGTGTGAGTAAAAAGACGGCAACTTTAGAGTAACAGATTCTCCTCAACTAAATTGAGTAAGGACTAGTAAATGTGATTTGCCTCAAAGGAAAATCATTTAGTAAGCGTATTATTATTATTTTTGTTATTATTTTGCAAATATGCACTCAAGATGAAGCTGAGTACCTTTGAGTTTTATTTGTGTGTGGCAAAGCCTTTTTGAAATGACCCTCTGTGCTCATCCTGAATAAACTTCTGCTGCAGTTGGGTGCGCCCACATCCACTCACCTTTTCATGTCTGCTGTGTTGTTGTTGTCACTGTTTGTACACGACTTGATAAACTGGACTGGGATTCTGAGACAACTGGAGAATGACTTGCAAATACACATTACCAATCTGCAAATAGCTTAGTGGAGAGAAGGAAATAGGAAGCAGGCAGAGGATGTTACTCAACCCAGTTAAAGTAGTGCTGTCCACTGCATGTGAAACCAAAATGTCATTTCTTCTCTGTATTGGAATGAAAGACTATTGGGCTCTAAGGTCACAAATGTTCTCAGATTCCTGATGATGTAACATGAGTTAGAATTCTACTGTCACTGTAATTGATCTATGAAAAAATGCAGTTTAGGGTTCTTTGTATGTATTGTGCATGTACAATAGAATTGTTCTTACAGTAAAGTAATAGCATTTACAACAAATGAACGTGTTTTGCCTGGGAGTGGAGGAAGCAAAACCAAAGAGTTCAGGCTGTTTCTGAAGGTGGTGATCCTTGTTGCTGCTTTGTTACAACACGCTGAATGACTGATGCCAAGTGGAACTGCACAGCCTTGAAAACAGTGGAGCTTATAGGCATTTTTTTTTTCCTTTTTTTTTTTTTTTTAAAGGGTCACACTTAAAAAGATCAATTTATGCATTCATCTATACACTTTTCTGCAGTGTTGTTGGCTGGCCTGAAAACTGGCTGCTGAAGTGTTAAAACTTCTAAAATTTAGGTAGAATAAAGACAATGGCTGTGCATAGACAACGAGAATATATGGTTTGGGGTACCTGGAGTGGAGATGGTCTTTAAAAAAAAAAAAGAAATGGGAAAGGAGACGTGAAAGGGGAAAAGAAACAGTTGCAGTGTTAGCATGATATTTTGATTTAACATGACATTTCAGAGGGTAGTTCAGTGCTTCTTGTCAGCATGATTTTCACTGCTGTCCTTACTGAGAGGTTAATATCTCAGGTCTGTGCTAATCTGTACATGCAAGATTTCTAAAAAATATGACAGAAGACCTAAATTCAAGGTGTAATGTAATGTTCTCTGCTGTTTCTACAATAAGAGTACTGTATTGCAGCTTGTGTGAAATTTTGCAAAATAGGGGAGGGATCCATGGTGGAAAAATGAAGGTAATCATTAAATTACTTCAGTTGGTAGAAGGAGCAAAAATTTGAAGCAAATGCCCAAAGATTAAAAAGTGGTATATTTACAATATTTAGAAGTCACGTGTACCAAAAAGCAAACTTTGGTAATATTAAAGGCACGGTCTTTAAAAGGTGAGGCATTATGAAAGTGTTTCCTGTATTGGATTGCATAATTAAACTTTGAAGTATGATTTTACTTCCTCTTCCTTACCCCTCCCTTCCCCCCCCCCCAAAACAAACAAACAAACAAAAAAGGTGACCAGTTATGCCCCTTCCAACACATGCATCTTCACATCTGCACAGATACTACACACAGCACAGCACTGGTGGGAAATCCTTAAAAATGGCTTGATTCTGAAGGAAAGCTGGTCATCATAAGATTAAATCTTACCTGATTTGAAATGCAATTGGTTATGAAGTTACGTATTAAACTTCTTTGCAGTTGAGCTCTGGATAATTGTAGCCATATATTCCACGTGCAATCTGTTCATTATGTGACTATCCACATCTGACATTTTCTGAAGTTATTTAGTCAGATGAGGAAAGTGTTGTCACAAAGAATGGAAAGTGTAAGTCATCACAAAGTTGTCATTTGTCAGTGCCAATGGATGTCTTAATTTATTTATGTTCCTTTTTCTCTTCTTGTTCTGTGTGCTGGTTATCTTCCTGGCTTTGGAATCCAAGAGATTGGTATAGACGTAACTTTACTATCACATTCCTCATGGGCCAAGTAGCACTGGTGAGAGCCCTGAGGTGGCTTCGTCGGAGAACAACAAATGCTGGAAATCAGTGATCACAGCTCCATGAAGAATGTAATGCTACCTAGACTGCCAAGGTGTGCTATTAACTTGCTAATAGTGATGTTCAGAATCTGAATGTCCAGTGTAATGATTGCTTAGGTCTGTTTGTTAGACTTTGTGTAAATAAAAGTTGCCTTTAGCCTTAATTTACAACCACTGTTTTATTATAAACCACCTTTTATTCCATGTATATCAAAATGTTTCCCAACGAAAACACAACTAGAAAACTCTTGAAAGCTTTTTTCTTTTACATTAACTGAAACAGGTCACACCTGGTTGTTGTTTTTTTTGTTTTGTTTTTAAAGCCACAGAGGTATACCTCATAAAACAAATCCCAGTGTGCCATGAACTTAGGTCAGAGAATGTTATCACAGACTTCATCTGTATATAAAGACTAAATGCCTCACTTTGCAG